CACAATCTATGTATATAATTTCTTATTATTGTTATATAGTCATGTTTAGTTTGGTTGATTTAGTGAACTTGATTAGGAATTAGAATATTTTTATAAAGTTGAGAGAAATTGAGGGTTGGAAGTGTTTGGTTTATTTTTAGACTTATCTTTATTGCCTTAAACTTGATTAACGTTAATGTATTTGATCATTTGATGATACTTTTTAGGATGGTTGTTAGCCATATATGACTAACTTTTGTTAAGAATTTGTGATACTATATTTTTATAGTTGATAATTGTGATGTTATGTTTGAAAAGTTTGATGATTCTAAGTATTAAAGTTATTATGAATTGTTAGTGATAATTGTGATGTTATGTTTGAAAAGTTTGATGATTCTAAGTATTAAAGTTATTATGAATTGTTAGTATTTATAAAATATTTCTAAGTATTAAAGTTATTATGAATTGTTAGTATTTATAAAATATCTAAATAATTAATAAACAATATAATCTACGTTGTGCGTTACGTTTTATTGCTTTTTTTTTGCTTAACCCTTAACAGGTGGTTAAGAGTTACATAACTTATTTTCGTTATTTTCAACATTGGGTTATTACCTCGAACGCTCCATGCCCTATAAACTGAAAGGTCCAGCAAACCAACCGAGTTACAAGAACAAGCTGCACTGAAGGAAAAAGATAAAGATCTGGAAGTGACTTCATGATTCAACAATAACAAATTCAAATTTACACATTTATACCTTCCAGGCCAAAGAGAAGCCTATCCTACTTGCAATCCAATCCCCACCAACCCAGCAAAAATAACACAAAACTGCAGCCTATGACCCACCTTTTCTATCCATGAGCACATAAAACAGGCCATAAACAAAGCAATGACAAGTCCGGGTTTTATTTCTCCAATGAGGAAGTGAACTGGGAGGTAGCGGAAGAGGATGAGGGAGCTGAAGAAAATAGGCCAAACAATGAGGGTGTGGATGAAAATGTTCACTCTGTTGCTGTGATACGAACCATAGAAGGCAACGTTGTTCTCCAAATCTAAGAGGCCCATGAAATCTAAACTGAGCTAATATTTTAGAGAGATGGTTGAAGGATTGGGAGTGCGTATGCTCTTTTGTGAGATTTTGGGGCATGAAATCTGCTTTCAAGACAGGAATATAATAATAATATAAAATTCAAATTAAAGAGTTAGAAAATTCAGGCATCATAGGGAGCAGTCGTGATGTCACTGTCCTAGAAGATTGAGGACCCGCCTATGGCCCTGGCGCAATCTGTCCTCTCTCCCCTAGCAGTAAAAACCCAGAATCGGCCGACCTCTGCGCTCGGGCGTGAGTCACAGAGTTTATGCTCAGACGAAAACGGTTGCCCAAAATATAAATGTAAAAGTGTAGCCGAAATAACTTGGGAGAAAAGAGAGTGGAGAAAGAGAGCTTTGGAAGTTGTTCTTCTCGTTGTTGTATATCCGAATGAGGTCTACGACTGCTTATATAGGTGAGGAGAAGTGTAACCCCCGCTTAATCAAAGGAATTGTTACGCACGAATCTCGCTTCTGTTACCCGCATGCAGCCGTTACAAAACGTGTAAAACGTGCAAAATAAAAGCTTGAGAAGCAAAAATGTGTGCGTGTGCGGTGCGCGTGAGATAGATATGCAAAGCCCACAAAACCCATAACACTATTCCATAACACTATTCCTTTTTCAATGTGGGACTATCCACAAAGACAAAATTGCCTCTTCATGAACAAAACATCCAGCAAAATCAGCATGAACATTTGCTTGTTCCTTTTCTGTGTTCTAATTTTCATAACTGCCAAGCGTGTAGAATTTGGATCACGTATAAGTTTCATGGATTCATGGATTACAGATTTTTTTTTCCATTAGTGATTAATTGTGATACATAAAATTTTGCAAAATGTATAATGAAATGGGTTTTGTATGTCAAGAAATGTGTGAGGAGATAATTTCATTGCTAAGAAATAAATGTAACAGGGTATGTGGTAATCTCTAATTACTGAATAATAGAGGCCCATGCCAAAATTCTCTATTTCAATTTCCTCTTCAACTATTGCAGGGCGAAAATACATGGTGCACTATTTAAACTTGCAAACTTTTGAATGCAAAGTTTTTCTTAATATATCAAAAAAACATAATTAATAAAGTCTTTTTAGTGTTTTTTTTCTTGTCAGAAGTGAGAGCAATTTTTTCTTTTTACTGGCAGAGGGTAGATAGCTAAAAGTTAAAAACATGTATAATTTTTTTTTAAAAAAATCCACAAACACAAAACGTACAAAGAATGGCCCATGCAGGTCTCGAACCTGCGACCTTCGCGTTATTAGTCTATCTGACGCTCTAAACCATACTGTTATGCTATTATTAGGCTTTGCTCGGCTTCATTGAAGGTTATTTAATAGGTCTGCGCTCTTTCCGAGCCTAGAGCTTCTTATGATTTAAGATATTAATGAAATAATAATATGTACCTTTCAACTTTTGGTGACAAACAATATGAGGTATTAGATTTCTTAAGAATAAGCAGTGTAAATTCAGAGACGCGTAATATCATCGAATAGTAAATTTAGTGCACGTATCAAGTCATAATGTTAAATTTCTAACTCTATCCATCATATGATCATATGTTGAGTTGGAAATTTCCCAAATAGTGTAATAATTTCACTACCAACTTTGAACCGAAATACGCATATATTTTCTCTCTCTAATTTCTTGCAGAACTTGTATCCAGATCTGGACAATAATGTGATAACAAATCGAACGTCCATAATTTAACAATATACATCCAAAAAAATTAGCAGATTACGGCTCTGCACGACTATCCAGATAGCAGATTTTTTTTCTAAAAAAAAAAGAGGAAAAAAAAAAGAAAACGTATGTGCACGGTAACCAAATCCAACTTGCTACTGTTATCGGCTATGGCATCTGATCTCAATCCGTGCAGGCTCTGAATGGATACGACGAGGATCGTCTTCTTGAGTTCTGACAAATCTTCAAGAGAAATAAAAAATAAAAATATATATATATAATAATGTACAACTAAAATAAAAATAATGATAAACTTCTGAAACCAATCAAAAATCAAAAGACAAGCTGGTTCAACTTTCAATGCGCATACACTTCGAGCAAAACAGTGGGCTGTCCTTCCAGAACTCGGCCGACCCCAAACTCCGATGTGCATAGTTTTAAATGAGCCCAAGGGCAAAAATCACGTGAGCAGCTTTCAATGCTTCCGCTTCTTTCTTCATCTCAAGATATAATCCTAATTAATGATTCATTTGACTTTTACCCGAAATGCCTCATCCAAAAATGAATGAAATGGGAATGTTGCACTATATTTTCCCACAAATTATGTCTATGTCCAATTAGATGACTTGATCTGTTTTCGATCTCTTGGGTTAGTTGGATTGTATAGTGTAAGTACAGGAGTAATTCTAGAGTCTGCGTGCTTATATGAATGACCATGAGATTACAAATTGTAACTACAAGGATGACCTTGAACTTGAAGCCTAGATGACAAGCAACTCCCGAGGTTATCAATGTAATTATAATCAATAATTTCAGGATTATCCGTGTAGGTATATAAACTCCGGGGTCACCCATGTAATTACACCGTACAACAAGGTAATAGATTGTAACCAACCCTCTTCTTTTTTTTTTCCCGTGATAAATGATGCACACTGCCGACATTATCTGAAGGAGATAAATGCTTCGTTTTAACCGCATAACCACTTGGATAACTAATATTCTTCAATGTTTTTCAGCTTGCCTCAAGTCACAAAAGTAACTATCTAGATGCTCTAAGGCCAGAGAATATTGCATTACTTAAATTATTTAAAAAAAAAGCTACGTTGGGAGTTATTCATGCACATATATATTAGAGAAATAATATCTTTGTTCTATTGTTCTAAAAAATGATCGTACAATGACAACTGAAAAAGGTTTGCATAGTATTGAAACTCGAAAATAATATGACCAATATAATAATTTTTCTAAATAATGACATGTAACTTGTACCTAAAAGACAGACAAAATAGATAATGAACATAATTTGTCCCTATACTACTATCGGAAGATGTTCATTATTTATTTATTTTATTTATTTACTGTGTCTAAAATGAGGTCACAAATGATACAGCACCATCTTTCCAGTGCGTGCAATAAATATATAGATCAACACAAGTAATTTCTTGGGAAATTAGTGCACTTCTTGGGTCTTTTCCAACAAGTCTCGTGATCTTTGTTCTTTTCTTCTATCAATGGACCATACTTCTTTTTTGTTTATCACCATTAAGGACCCGTTTGGATCGGGTATTTTGAAGGGGGAAGGAGGAGGAAAACTGTCAGTTTATCAGTTTTTTGACAGCTTTCCCCCCAAAATCGCCTCCAAACAGCCCCTAAGTCAAAACGCGACCACATCCAAATCAACCGTGTTATTTTTTTTTAAATGTAGGTTTAAGAGTTGGTATTAATTTATAGGGAGGGTTAGCGTTGATTGTAAATGTACTAGTATTTGGATGACAACGTATCCTTTTCAATTTGCCACCAATTTCAACACAAAAATCCAGATGCCAAGACTCATCATACCAATCCTCTCATCATCCACAAGAAACCTACAAGTACCCTCCCGCTCACTCTGGTTGCTGTAAAGCGACGAGGGTCTCTTTCTTGGATACAAAATTGGGGATCTAAAACTAAAAGCATTTGCTCTCTTTAATTTAAAATAGTAGAGCTAAATAATAATAATAATAGTAAATGTCACTAGGCAAAAAATAACCAACGCTAGCAGTTACCACTTAAATAATGCATGCCAACTAGTAAAGTAGTAACTGACCATCATAACACCCAGATGGTCCTTGCGCAATAACAGACGGCGGAACGGTTCAGGCGGCACATCATAACACCCAGAGTGCTGGGGACCAGCTGATCCAATGAAAAAAAAAACCCAAACGGATAGAGTGAAAAAAAAAAAGCTCTCTTTTATAAGACCCCACAATAACCCAACGCCCACCACCTTCGCTGTTCTCCCATTCGTCTCTCTCCAACGCCGCAACCACCCATCTCCTCATTTTTTGTTTTGTTTTTTGCACTCTGTTTTGCTCTGTTTGTTGCCATGGCATTTTCTCTGTGTCATGGTTTTTGTGTTTCTTGTCCCCATGAATTGGCACTAGAGAAAAAGGTAATTGTTGGGTCTTCAGACGCTTTAGTTTGCAAGAACGAGTTCAGAGGAAACCAGCTCGTGCTTAAACAACAGAGCGGTTTAGAGAGATGGGTTCCCAAAGAAACCCACTCTCCTTTCTCTATTAGTGTAAGCTCCTAGCCTTTACATCTCTAAGTTACAACGCCATTAAGTTAAATGTTAATTTTTCTTCAACCCCAGGCTCAGGCTTCAATCTGTGTCCCTAGAGCTATGAGATGGTGGGAGAAAACGAGCAAGCCAAACATGACGGAGATCAAATCTACGCAACATCTCGTCGATTCATTGTTGGGTGCCGGAGATAAGCTTGTCATAGTTGATTTTTACTCCCCTGGATGCGGAGGCTGCAAAGCTCTGCATCCGAAGGTGAAACCCCCCAAATCCGTACGTAAATTGCCTCTACGCATCCAATCGTACGATAAGAATCTCACGAAAAAATTTATGGGTTTTTCTCCCAGATATGTCAGTTCGCAGAACAACATCCAAACGCGACGTTTCTCATGGTTAACTACGAGGAGCACAGGCCCATGTGCCAAAGCCTACACGTTCGCGTGCTACCCTTCTTCAGGTTCTACCGAGGGGCTCGAGGCCGCGTCTCGAGCTTCAGTTGTACCAACGCAACGGTAGGTCGCGAGTCAAAAAATCTATTTTTTGTCGATTCGAACATTTTAGCCGCTTGAAATTTTACGTTGTTCTCGATGGTGTTTGCAGATAAAGAAGTTTAGGGACGCTCTGGGTAAGCACGGAGCAGAAAGATGCGGCCTCGGACCAGCGAAAGGATTGGAAGAATCAGAGTTGACGAGTTTAGCTTCGAAGAAAGGGACCAATTTCAGCTATCCGTTGAGCTCTTCGCCGCCTGGAGATTTTAGCTTTTATTCAGATTCTGAGGGAAGAACCGACATGGCGATGGCGAGCCCGCGTTGATCCATCGGTTTCTTGTTAATTAGGAGTGTACATAATTCTACATCTGGGGCTCTGTGTTTTTCTGTGAGAGCCCCGGTTTCAATAAGTTGTGTTCAGGCTGTGTTGACGAAATGAAAAGAGATTGATTTTGTTTGATTTTGTTTCCATCTGTGTTGGGATTTCCTTTTGGTTTTCCTTGCATATTTGTGGATTTCTTGTGAACATGGCCCAAGTGATTTACAGAATCAAATATAAACAACAAGTTTGGTTCAATCAAACACTGCATCAAGTTCAATAAGACAAGGACTTGATCGCCAACCGTTATTGTTGCGTCCATATAAATTTAATAAAGTTAACTAAACATGATCGACTCTATTCATCACACAACTAGAAAATAGACTACCTACGCCTTAAATTAAGCATTTCAAGGAAGTTAGTTCAACCCCCCCTCTCTCTCTCTCTCTCACACAAAATCATCAGGTTTAAACATTTTTTTTCAAGAATTGGTGGTAAGTATACTATATTTTTGCAAAAGGACAATTCCCTTTGTTTCTCGGTGTTTGAAATACTATAGATAGAGATCACGCGGACTCTCCAAGCTTCCAGCTCATAGCATTCATCATATGACCCTACACATATAAGTTTTGGGCCCTTTTCATTTCTCAATCATTTCCCCCTTTATCCAATAGACATAGAATTGATTAGGGGACCCAGAATTAAAAAGCTACATATGGATTATACAAAGTGAAACTTTGTATTTGGACATGGGATTTATATTTTGGATTCATTTAAGCAAGCTCCTTATAAATAGTTTCTTCAGTTCTTTTTGGGATTTTGGATTAGTTGTTGGATGGGGTCCAGCTAACCAACAATGCCAGCTACAATCTTGGTGTTGCGCCCACAGTACCTTTCAATCCTAGAAAACTTTTTGATGGTTATGGTTCCTTCATTGATCATATCTACTACATAGTCTAAAATCACCGTCACTACGTCAGAACTTCAAAATTACAACAGAAACGAGGGTTATAATTTTATAACTAACATGGACTTTAGAGGTTTAGAGCCCTTTCGTGGACTAAAACCTGGACTCATGAGGCAGTATTTTTTAAACCCGTTTCAAAAATTCGTGGTCAGTAAAATTTAAACCCATATCGCTTTTTATCGTTCCGGTACGTAAAATTACAATAGGAAGAAATTATTATTTTTTTCTTTTAAATCACCTGCTGTCCTGTACTGTGAACATAGTGAAACTAGATTTTTCAGCAGTTGTTAGAGGAGTCCTAGCCTACGGTCATTTTGTACGGGGCACATCGCTTCAAACAGACAAGATGAGGTGGAGAGCAGCAAGAACACAAATGTGGCGGTGGGCACGGGTGGTCTGGTTGCGGATAAGAACGCTGATGTGGAGTGGGCGTGGCGCTTCGACCTGCTACCCACTTTTGTCCCCCTAAAGTTACAAGGTTTTACCAAGATTTATCCACCAACTCACACGTTGCTACGGTGGTCAAAGCTCCTATCAGTTATCTTGGATCTTTAGTCGTTGGGGGGTCAAGAATGAGTATGTTATTTGTTTGCATTCTGTCAATTACTCAAGGATCAAACCTTGCGGCTCTAGATACACAAGGCTTCCGATTAACACAATAACCTTAATTTGGTATTTATCACTAAGGGGCTGTTTGGTTCGGTTTTTATTTGAAGGGGAAAGGGAGGGAAAGCTGCCGAAGTTCTAACTTTAGCAGCTTTCTCCCAAAATCGCCTCTTAAAGAAAAGGCGATTTTGGGAGAAAGCTACCAAAGTTCTGACACTTTGGCAGCTCCCCCCACCCCTTCCCCTTAAAAAAACAAAACCAAACGCGTCCTAAGTAATCGTCTCTCTAATTATTTGTACTTCTCCAGCCAGTCCAAAGATCTAACAATCCACTGCAGTCTGTAATATAACATTAGACAAGCTTAGATTATAATAAATGGTACTTCCCCAACTAACCAAAACTACTGCTGGCTCAACAAACTTCTGGCTGGAAAAGCGTAGATGTGTCCTACTGTGGAGCTGTTTCCAAGTCAACTTGGGGAATTTGATCTTGATTCAATGATCACATCTCACTACTTTCCATTGATTATGCTCTTCATTATCATATTTGAACTTTAGAGGTGGTTTTGAGTGTAAACAGATGCATTTTTCAGTGAAATAGTCACAGTAACTATCCCTTACCTGATGAGTTTGGCAAATTATTATAACTACCTCAGTTAATCACAACCATCTAGTACTACTTCAAGTCTTTCCAAGGCCATAGCTATAAAACGCCTAGCTCTAGTCACGGTTTTAGATATAAAATTTGCACAACTTTTTTTTAATACTTGAATACTGAATGAAAATATAACAAATTCAAATTAAAGAAGCTCAGATTATGATTTGTAGATGACATTTGTTGGCCGGCAATTTTCATCATACTAGGTTTTATGCAGTTGCACGTGGTCAAATATCATAATTAAGTATATTTGGTTTATTTCCTTACTAAAACATGTTCCTCGGTTCCACTTTGATGGTTTTTGCTTACTTATATCTCTAAACTTTGGCATTGTGATTATTTATTTTCTTTAATATTCGTTTAAATGAACTATACTCAATTTAAATTTTTATATTGATAAATTGAATTGACAGGAAATAAATGTAATCCGAAATCAATTTGAATTATAATGTCATTGAGACCAACATGAAACCAAGCTTGACCTAAGAAAATATAGCATTGTAAAAGTGAGAAACACTTCAAAAAATAGCGTTCTAAAAAGAAAATGAATAATTAAAGCTCATAAGACAAGATGATTGGTTAAAAATGGGCTAAAATAACACAAAAGATAATATGAAGTTTGTTCCTAATCCTTGATAGAATTTAAAAAATTATAAAATAAAGATTAATACTAAATCTAGTATACTTTTATATAATGAAAACATCCACATAAACATATAAAAGTACTAAAAAAGTTTATGAAAATTCCTTCCAAAAATTCCTAATTTACTACATCCACATAAACATATAAAAGTACTAAAAAAGTTTATGAAAATTCCTTCCAAAAATTCCTAATTTACTCCAAAAAAACCTATTCTATAAAATATTCAGAAAATAGAGTCTTTCATTCCTTCTGTTTTTTTTTTTTAGACGTTATCAATCATTCTCCATATTTATCTTTTTTGATAAAATTAGACTACTTTTAGATGCCAAAAAAGGATAGTAAAACCTTAAAATAAAAGTTAAATTTACATATCTTAATAAAAGAATATCAAACAACTACTCTTTTTTTTTTGCTATGCATGTTTTGAAATTTTAGTTGCTTTTTCATGATTTTGAATTTTAAGGGTGTGTTTTGCAAATTTTAAAATTTTGAGAGTGTTTTTTAAAAAAGTTAAATTTTAGGTTGAGTGCTTGTAATTTTCATGTTTCATGTGTTGGTAGTAAGTTTTTTAATGTCAGAATATTTCTTACAACTCTGAATTTTGAGGTTATTTTTTGTCATTATTGAAATTTTAGATTGTTTGTTGCAAAATTTAAATTTTTAGCGGTCTGCTGATAATTTTGAGATTTGATATGTATTGGTTATAAGTTATTAAATTTTAGGGTTTTGTGTGTTTTTAATTTTTGAAGGAGTTTTTTGGAATTTTTATAACTTTAAGGTTATTTTTTTTATAAATTTTAGTGTTTAGTGTCTGATAGTAATTCCTTGAATTCGTCTTTGTTGTTTGCAAGTTTTGCAATTTTAGAATTTTATAGTGCTTTTTTATTATTTGAACTTTTGAGGGTGTTTTTATAGTTTTTAAAATATTAAGGGTTTCATGTTTGTTGTTTTAAGTTTTAAAACGTCTGGATGTTTTGTGTAATTTATACTTTTAAGGGTGTTTTGTGCAATTTTTGAAACTTTTTGGGGTTTTTTACAATCTTCATATATTATAGCTTATTATTTTTTAAATTATTGACCTGTAAGTAGTTCACATAGGATTAGGATAGGATATAATTATGATTATAATAAATTAAATTTAAATAAAATATTCAAATAGTGAAGGATAATATTGACCATGGAAAGATTTTCCCGAATTCGTATAATTTTGAATTTTGATATGTATTGATTATAAGTTATTAAATTTTAGGGTTTTTTGTTTTTTAATTTTCGAACGAGTTTTTCGGAATATTTATAACTTTGAGGTTATTTTTTTATAAATTTTAGTTTTTTAGTGTCTAATAGTAATTCTTTGAATTCGTCTTTATTGTTCGCAAGTTTTGAAATTTCAAAATTTCATAGTGCTTTGTTATTATTTAAAATTTTGAGGGTGTTTTTATAGTTTTAAAATATTGAGAGTTTCATGTTTGTTGTTTTAAGTTTTGAAACATCTGAATGTTTTGTGTAATTTTATACTTTTATGGGTGTTTTGTGCAATTTTTGAAACCTTTTGGGTTTTTTTGCAATCTTCATATATTAAGCTTTTTATGTTTTAAATTATTGACTTGTAAGTAGTTCACATAGGATTAGGATAGGATATAATTATGATTATAATAAATTAAAATTTAAATAAAATATTCAAATAGTCAAAGGTAATATTGATCATAGAAAGATTTTCCCGAACTCGTACTTTTAAAGGGAGTGACAAATCAGCATTCTTAATTTTGTTAAAGGTTTAACAATAATAATCACTGTGACAGAACCAATGTATTCATGTACCAGTAAATGAATATTGTGATGAACAAAATGCACAGAATATATACAGCAATATGATATATTTATCAGTATACCATATGCCAGCCCAGCCGGCAAATCCATCCTATTGTAGCATTGCGTCAGAAAAGCCAAATTCTTCAGTGTGCATATTCCTGCAAAATATAAGCACATAACATATCTTTAGAATGGATTGCAAAGGGTCAGCTCAAGAATCAATCTTCAAAGGCTACAAAGGTTCGAGATTGAAGTGGATAAACCCACTGTTTGTTTCTTTTATTTCAACGGATGATCTCAAACAATTGATCTTCCTGAAAAAACATCTATATTTCATACTAGCCATTGGGATTAACTAAACATCATTTGTGTTCGGAATAAATTGTATCATTTTTAAGAAAAATCTATCAGAAAAGGATACATAGAAACTATCAAGAAATGAAACAGGAACTTTAGAAAGTTCCAACAAAAATTATCTTAGATTCTTGAACAACGAATCATCGATCAGCTGAGGAGATGTGATCTCTATTGTTTTCTGTTTTGTAATTTTATCCGGCAACTCAGCCTATGGTGTAGGTTGATGCTTGCACCTGATATTAGAATTATGATGTCAAGCATGGACGCAAACAACGAGCAATGGATACAAAATGATACATACAACATTTTACAAACACAACAAGTGCCATTATAATGTACATCAAAATCCATAGCATTCAGGATATGTTCTATCATTTTCAATGTCATTCCACTGGCTCCATTGGGTCCAACTTTGTGCCTTTAAGAATGATTTAAAACCAAAGCTGGCATACTTTCTTTTTTTGCTGTCCACATTTCTTTGGTATCAACAGAGAAAACAAAGCAGCAAGCCAAAGAATATCAAAATGGGTTGAAGAAATCAAAAGGTCCGTAGAAGTTATATTCAATCAAAGTTCTAAGTCATAAAGACCTCAAGAAATCAGAGGGTTCGATAACTACTATTCATCAACATAGTCATATAGTCATCTATATTTACAAGTAAATGAAACCAAGATGATTATTACCTTTTTTATATCTTTCATGCTCCAATTAATCTCAAGTTTTAATGAACCCAAAGATGGACGGATGCATTCAATATACAATCAAAACTATCCGAACTTTACAACCAGCAGACAGTAAGGCTCATGAGGAAAGACATGTAAACCAATGGGTACAGCCACCAATAGGAATAAAGCATAGGGCAAATAAGTCATGGATTTTTTTACAGAAAAAGTTATCACATGTTTGTTAGAGAACAATAAATATTGGAGATTCTGGATAAGAAGTCATCGTGATTCTATTGAGTAACTATATCTTTTCTGATGCGCAATGATTTATGCCCTTACCCACTGAAATGTGACTGGCCATGGATAGAAGGCTAACCGGGATGACAAAATTCTTCGTCAAGCTATCACCAAAAAAAATCTTCGGTAGGGTTATAATCTACTAGAGGAATTTGCATGGTGGAAGATATACGAAAATTGTGGCATATAGGAAAGTAAAACAAGAGAGAGGCTAGCCATATAGCAAGAACTACAGTTCAAACTTATGAAACCAAGGAGCAAGAATTCTCCATGACATAGATAAAGCCAAAAGACAAGAAAAAGAAAAACAAACATAACACGGTTTCAAATCAATTGAACTGCTAAAATTCTACTCATTAGCTCTAAATGTAAGTTTCTGTTCCTGAATTTTTTTTCTTTTGTACAATAGTACCTACTTCCTACTCTCCAACCTGCCTGGTGTCCGGCATGTTTACATGATGTTTACATGGATCAAGAAATAATTATGCTGAAATGGCAAAAAAATTGAAAGAATGTGGACGAACCTGATGATGATCAGCACAAATCATTGGGAATAGTTGCATCTTTTCGAGGATTCAGACTTCGAACAACCTCACACCATTTATGATCACCTTATTCTTCAACCGAGCTTCCATGAGTTGTCAGCTCAATATGTTTTCATATGCATCCTTTAGTTTCGTATCCTTATAAGAAGGACTCAGGAAACAGTACTTGTAGTAGTTCACTGTCACAAAGCTGATGAAAGCATCCAAATAAATATTTGTCCTACCGTTGATTCTAACGAAATCACAGTGAGAAAAGTGTAGCTCTGAATTACCTTCATTCTAGTTTTCTGATGCCCTTGCTCTCCGAATATAGTGATGCTTATTTAACTGTTGAAAGAATCTTATCCACAATTTTTGTTTGAGGACCATTCAAAGAAGACGAGATAAGAAACCCTTGCCATCATCATTAACATCCTTCGTATCACTACAACTTAAATTGCTTATGAAAGACCAATGAGTCTCAAACGTAGGGGAATACCCAACTTGTTGCATTTCGTACAACAGCTCTGAAGCCTTGTTCAAATTATTTTGTGCATAATATTTATCAATTACATAATTATACATGTCACTTGAGGGAACTGGACCAAAATGAAGCATCTTTCCCAAAAAAATTCTAGCCTCATCGGTTCTACCATTATCACAAAGACCACAAACAAGGGTGTTACAGGCATCCAAGGTTGGTTCCAGAGTCTTGTACAGCATTTCAGCATGAAAGTCAAAAGCTTGATCAAATAATTTTTCAATGGAGAGACCCTTGATGACCAAACTGTAACTAATTTCACTTGGTAAGCTACCCTTCTTTAACATGAGATTCAGAAGATCAACGGCCTTTTTTATGCAACCATGTACACAAAACTTCTTAATCAGAAGATCTAATTCGATGTTAGTAGGCATCATGTCTTTTTCTTCCATTTGGTATAGAAAGTGTTCTGCCTTCGAAATTTCACCATTACTCAAAAATCCCTCGGTGAGTGCATGGAGAACTACTGAACCATGCTTCCAGCCATTATATTCCATCACCTTACTCAATTCTAGTGCCTTGCTAACATTCCCATCACTGCATAAGTAACAGATAACTTTTCTCAGGATACGATTACTTGGTTTCATATTTTCACTGATCACAGTATCCAGTAACTTTATTGATCTAGACGCATCTCCACACTTATAATAACCATACGCAAGAAAATTAAAAGTATCTGAAGTAGGAAATAAATGCTTCTCTAACATTTTCTTCAAAAGAGCCTCAACTAGCAACCTATGTCCTGACTTAAATAGATAAAATATCAGAATGTTGTGTAAGACAAGTGGCTCAGCATCACATTTCTCCTCCATCACCTCTTTGAGACGCAATGCACCAAGTATTTTGTCATGAGTACACAAATGATGTATTAGACTTCGATATCCAGATAAAGAGAGGTCAAAGTTTTTTCTTAACATGACACAGAGTATTTCAAGTGCTTTTTTTAAGCTTTTAACATGACAGTAACCTTGGAGCAAAGCATTAAGAGTATCACTATCTGGGAAAACTTTGTTCCCCAGCATTTCATGTAACTGAATGGCTGCTTCATTCATCTTTCCCTTTTTGCAGAATTCATTCACCAAAGTCTTGTATACAAGAAAAGCAGATTTAGGTTGTGCTTTCAACATAGTTTGCTTTAAACTCATAACTTTTCCGACTATATTGAACTTAAACAGCTGCGGCACAATGAGCTCATATATACTTGCATCAGGGGCCATATTTTTCTCTAGGAATCCATCAATTATTCCTTGTGCTTTATCAAACTTTTGCTCCTTTATGAAACCTTCAATAAGACTGATATAAGACACATTATCAACAGCAAGACCCCTATTAAGAAACTCCTCCACCAATACATATCCAACGTCAGTAAAGCCTCTGATGCATAACTCCCTCACAATATCATTGCAAATAACTGAAATTAAGTTCGGACACTGACACTTCTCTGTGATGCTATCAAAAATTTCTAGCATGCCCTTGACCATTCCGAACTTGCATAAGAAACTTATAAGCTTCTTGATATCTGTAGACCAGAGTAACGATGAGATTCTGTGTGTTGCTTGTAAACATTCTCTAAGTCCATCAATATTCCTTTCTTTACATAAGCCCAGTAATATCACGGTATAGGTATCACTTTCAACCACCATATTTCTCTTAAACAACTGATCCACTATAGATATTGCACAAAATGGTGCCCCATTCTTGCTTAAATATTGTATGAGATGATTGAGTGTCTCAAAATCAAGCTGATCCACTAATTCAGGAGTCTCATCTAAAATAGTAATTGTGCTTTTTATGTATGAGGAGGATTGACATAGACCTTTCAATAGTTTGGAATATGTTGACAATGAGAGGTTCTTTCCCCACTGAGCAGCTTCATCTT